ATATGGCTAGCCCCAGGGGGCCAGTCACTAATCTCTACATGTGTTATTAGTGGGGCCAGTCCACTGGACTACATCCTCACTCGGCAAGCTGGCACACGGAGCTAGTCCGGTAGACTGGCCCCCCAGTCTGGGGCTACCAAAGTACCAACCTCCAGGCATGCGGGGCTGGTATGCCGGGCAACCAGCAGTCAACTTAAGACCCGTGGAGCGATAAAAAAATGTCTCCACAAGTTCGTTTTTGGCCCCTATCCTGTTCGTAAGTGATGTGGGCTCTTAGACAAACACTAAAGACTGTTGCATGCTAACTTCAATTAAATTCCATGGTTCCATGAAGGCCTATTAAATTACTCTGTACTATGCAGTGGGTGTAGGTTGAAGTGATATCACATCTGAAATGTATGCGAACTGGATAGCATCCATATCTGTTGTCTTGAGCTAGGTGTAGGTCTTTGCTCCACTGGAAATATGCAGAGATGCACAGACAATTAACCTAGTGCTAGTCGTAGCACTGGAAGCCCACTTTGGACACGTCAGAGGTGGCAGCAAGTCATTTTTTTGCTAGTCCAAGTCAAGTCACAAGTCAAAGCTGGTATTTACAAGTCAAGTCACAAAAATAGCGACACGAATCCGACTCGAGTGCAAGTCACATGACTCAAGTAAGCAACTCCGGGCACCTAGTTTTTGCTCAGTGGTACATGTTGTCAACACAGCAGTTGCTTGCAGAACTACTTACTAACAAATAGGGTAGAGTGTAGGCCTACATGTCTAATGGAGGTGGTTTAACTACGTCAATTGTAAACATTGGTCTCCGTTTTAAATTTAAAAAGGAGTATTACTAGAAACTGGGAGATTGTCAAGTTCGTGACCTTCCCTGTTTTGTAGACACTTTTACAAATAACAGTTTGCCCCGAAAAAACAGTATTACTAAGGCAATATCTCTTGATTGTCATGACCCTATTTGGGTTACATTTGGAAGAGTAAGTCAGCCTTGACACTTATAACCTTTTTATTTACATTTGTTTAATTAAGATTTGAAGCTGATTTGAAGATTTCTTACATTTGTTCAGGTCGTTATGAGAAGGAGAGAGGCTGAAGATGGCCGGTAGTGATGCTGTGAGGAGTAAGATATTATGTCTTCTGTTGCTGTACTTTGTGCAAGGAATTCCTTATGGCTTTCAGGTTAGTCATTGATTGTTATAATTAAGCTTTTTGATTCATTCTATTTTACTCTGCGTGTTAATGAGTTGAGTCCATCACAAGTCCCCGTAAGCTCATCGGTAGTCATGCATCCAGGCTTGAACCATGGAGGAAGAATACTACTCTATGCTTCAACCAAGTCACAAGCTATTCAAATAAACTGTGACAAAATCATTCCTTTGTCACTGTTCACCATGTTACTTATGACTGGTCTTGTGAAGAGACATATGAAAGGACAAACTTGACTACAGCATTAATTTTACGATGATTTCTTATGAATATTAATGCTATTGATATTGTTTTCTTCACCTCATAGGCTCGTTTTCTGCCAATCTTTTTGCGATCTCGGGGTACATCGCTCACAAGCCTCGGTTTCTTCAAGATCCTCCTCCTGCCCTGGATGCTGAAAGTCCTGTGGGCCCCTTTCTTGGAGCGTTATGCCTCCCGACAAACCAACTTACTCTACAGTCTCGTTGCCATGGCAACAGTTTGCGGATTCACCTCCTGCATCTCACCAGATCAGACAGTTGCACTCTGCGTTGCCATCCTCTTACTGAATCTGTCTGCGTCAATTCAAGACATTGCTGTGGATGCTATAGCCATACACATCCTTACCGAGTCGGAACTTGGTGCTGGCAACACTGTTCAAGTTGTCGGCTACAAGGTTGGATCCATTATTGGAGGAGGACTGTTGATTTGGCTCCTGCCACACACCGAATGGAGTGGATTATTTGTGTTACTTGCTGCTCTATATACCATGACATTGATAATAGTGATGCACCTACACGTAGGTGACCTCAGAGAGTGCAAAACTGACAAGGAAAGCGATGTATCTAACTGCAACAGTGTCCAGAGCAATACTGACAAGGAACCTGTAACAAGGATGGACTCAAAGATACAGTTAGTCTCCTCACTCATAACTGATGTTGTCAACTCTCCACACACAAAGTGGATGATGGCTTTTGCACTTTTCTACAAACTTGGTAAGCTTGGGGAAGCAAAACCGAAACTGAGTAAATACCAAAGTAATTTACCGTTATGAAAACAAGAAGTACAAAGTCATTATGGTGAAGTTCATGCCACTTTAAAACTTGTAAACCTGAATTCTACCTTCATCTTTGATTTCATCCAAGTCCTAATAGACTGTTGAATTAATGGTCTTCAGTAAGACACAAGTCTATGAAATGGCAGTGGCTGCTAGCTAATAAGTTGCCACTGGTATACATGTATGTGTAATTTACAGCCATAGCCAAGTGAAACAGAATCTTAGGGCTGTAGTCAGTGATCAACATGTACTTGTACCTCCAATGGACTTATTGTTTCTTCAGGTGAGCAAGGAGCTGTTGGTATGTTTCCTCTTTACCTGATTGACCATGGGATACCAGTCGGTGAAGTTGGTATCCTGAGTGGGGTCATAAGTCAAGGGTTATCTATTGCAGGGTCATTGGCTGGTGGCTGGATGCTGTCAAATCCCAAGTTGAGGTATGATATAGTTCAAAGGTCAAGATGTCATGTGATCTCCTATCCTCTCTGCTCCCTTGGATGAGTGAGACAAGATCAAGTTTAAGAAAGAAAAGCAATACCGCATCATCGATATGTCTTGATGTCTTACACTAAGATGATAAATTAAGCTGCAAAAAAAGAAAAATTGGGAATGAATCCATCATTGTATGTAGTTGACGCAGCACCTTTTAATAAATATGTATCTTTGAAGTAACTATTTGATCCATTTTAAAGTCTAGCACCGGTACTCTCTTTTGATGCAAATATAATCTATCATCTTTTCTGTGTCACCAGTTTGAAACCTTTGCACCTCCTTCCATATCTGATGAAGCTGCGACTCCTACCTTTAATTCTTCAGACAGCAGTAATATCTTGCAATTACTCAGATACGAGTGTGCCTTTCTACGGTGAGTGTAACGTGGACAAAGGGATTATTCAATTGTCTTCCACGGTCGTATTGTGACTTCCACGCAGACTTGACATAGATGATAGATTGGAGTCATTTTTAGCCAGTTGGATGATACATCAACTTTGTAGACCAATTCAGCCAGAATTACAAGCTATTACTGTAATTGAATCAAGCTCATGGGTGGGTGGTTCTAGTGGCGTAGCCAGGGGGAGGCCGGGGGGCCCCCCCACAAATTCCCGGTGCACCCCCCACTGAAAAAAAAATGGATTAATGGCTATTAAACAAGGCTAACAAAAACTTGCCCCCAAAAAACCACTCCACTAAAAGCTGGTGCCCCTCCCCAAGATGCTGGTGCCCCCCCCACTAGTAACATCCTAGCTTTGCCAATGGACGGTTCATTACCTACCATTTTAATTAATAGCCCTGTGTACTGAGGATGTAACACTGTTCAGTACAATGCATACGTGATGAGATGGAATTTTGGTCATCAATGTACATGTATATATGGTCATACACTGCACTCTTCCTCAACTGAAAAACGGTAAAATTGTTCCCTTTTTTCTTGTGATAGAATGTAACTCAAATATCTGCCCATTCCCCTACTCTTAGCATATGACTGCTGTGTACACTACACTGATCATGACCTATCTCCTCAACATGCACTATAGTTAATACTGTGACATGTGATCAGTAAATAGGGCTATAGGGTACTGTGACTTGTGGTACATGTACAGGTGTGTCTCAGGTTTGAGAACACAGCCCTGATTATAGCGCCACCACAGTCTTGGCACCTGTCTGGATGGTCTTGGTACTCTATGACTTAATCATCAGAGAACAATGAAGGCATCATTTTCAAGAGACAGAATTACGAGAAGGGCACGCCTGACATGAACACGGAGACAATGGCACTGATACTGCAGATCAAACTTTATAAAGTTCTGAGGTCATTCTCAAGTGAAGGTGATGTCTGACTTACTGAAATTGTGTCGTTTTCAAAACCCAGTGGTTTGATATAGAGTTCTTCAATTTATGAACAAGTGTTTTTCCTCATTGTTTATTAGCAATTTTCCATGACTTTTCTTCAAAGATTTTTGTGTCTGTTCAGATTGTACATCCCATGTATTTGTTTCTATGCCTTTATTTTCTTGAACCCCAAAGGCCCATGGAAATTTATGCCCACCCCTAATAGCTGAAGTTCATCAATTCAAACCAATCTGTATATTCCTTTTGTGCAGGTCCATGTGTGTTAGCCATGTGGCTACTGCAACTGATAGGGGGCGCTATTACAATTGCAACCTTCACCTTGATGATGCAGTGCTCCCAGAATGCACCACTATGTATCCAGGCAACCCACTACACTGCCTTAGCTACCCTGGAAGTGATGGGTAAACTAACCTTCATGTCAGTAGCGGGATGGCTGGTGGATATGCTAGGATATACCTCAATGTTCTGTTTGTTTATCACTCTGTCTGTTGGTATGCTTGCAATGTTCAGACCATAGACTCTAAAAATAGCCTTTTATAAGCATGTTTATCCTTCAGGGTATTTCTGTACTTTTAAAAGTAGAATGCACAACTGAAAGAAATAATTGATCCTGTTTTCATAGAGTTTGGCAATTTGCCTTTTGTTTGGCTGTTAGAAACATTTATTTCACTTTTGACAGCGGATATGACATTGATGTAAAGAATGAAAACTCCACTTTATGATTTGTATAAACTTCTTTCATAATGTAAGGATCAATTACTAAAATTTATAGAAACTTGTTTAAATGAAATTGTTTTGAGACCAACAATTCTTGAGTAGATGCCAGGCTTAATTAAATGTCCGTTGCATCATATTGCATAAATGTTGCATTACAAATTGCCGTATTTTTATAGTTTTCTTGAGAACAATTAACTTATTCTAGTCTCCTGGGCAATCCTTGCCCAGTTTTTTACAAGTTTATAAAGCTGATGAACTACATCAGTACTCCTGACACTGCAGGAAAACTGTTTGGTCTCCCGTGGATTTTTTCTGGCATACGGGTTGATATCTCTTTAACCTTCACAGTCATTTTGACAAGAGTCAAACTAGTGAAACAGAATTTTATATTAAATAATTTGTAAACTTTTGGTTTTTTATTGTGCAACATTTGGGAAATGATGTAGTTGAATCTGTGTAATTTATTACCCAATACTTCTCATAAAATGTCTATTGCTTTGATTTTGAAGAAGTACAATACATGTGGTTTCTTGACAATTTGGTTTCTTTTTTGAAATTCACTAACAGGTGAGCAGGGTCTAAACTTTCTCCACGGCTACACATACATTGAAGGAACACAGGGATTGTCAATTGTAGACTAGGTTTTTTTTTCATAATAAAAGACACAGCTCTTCAAAGACAGCTGTGGGAATACGGACTTGATCTGTCTTAATCTCCAGATGTCTGTAGAAAAGACAATGTGTGCTTAAAGTTTACAGTCTCTAACAAGGTTGCAAAATAGTCATTTGCTGAAATACAGGTTGGTCATAAACAGTTGCTTAACCCTCTTATGCAAAGATACACTCTCAAAACATGTTCTATCAGTCAAAATCAGTCAAGTGACATATGATATGTACATGTACTGTACAGGGGAAATGGAAGGAATTTTTTACTGCGTTTGACGGTTACAGCAAAAGGAGGGCCAAGTCACAGTACACTGTACTGATAATGCAATGAACATAAACTTGTGTTGAGCAAATGAAAATGCTCATGCAGATCAAATTACATGGTGAAATTTCAGTTCAGTTTGGTTGCACAGAAATTTGCAGTCCGCCAAAAATGCCCTGATCCTTGTAGAGGTGCTACAGTAGAACCGAGGACGAAATGTAGTAGAAGAGGACAGTCTAGTAGGACTGAGAGGACTTACTGATGACATTTTTCTCCTTATGTGGAGACAGGTTTTAGGAAGAACAACAAATCCTTGTGTAGACTTTCACCTGTCACTGTCATACATCAATATGTGTGCCTGTTGTGTTGGCTCTTTGGTAGACCTTAATGGGTGGAATAGGTTTGATCTTTCTGCCTGCCCAACCACCTTTCCTCTGCCATAGACCACTAGATGGTCGCCTGCCAAGCCATCGATTGCGACCAGCTTTACCTACAATAAGGAAGATCATGTCATCAATGGTTATTAATCAGAGATAATCAACTGTGACCAATTCGGAAATACAAATACAAAAAAAGAAGTGCTCCAGTATAACTGCTTTGAAGGCTGTCTTACCAATGTACCACAGACATAAAAGATTTCTGCTAAGCCAGAGCTATGGACATGCGGATGTATGAGACATTATAGCTTGGTACTGCAGGAGTCTGATATGTCAATATCTGTGTGAATCACCTTGGAACAAGAGATTGTCTATCAAGCCAAGGGATCATTCTTTTTTGTCATCATGAACAAACAAAACAGGTGCTGGGGTTAACAGCCTAAATACACTTAAGACTGAAAAATAATGAAAGGCAGTCATGATTTTCCTGTGCACTCTTTAATGGGGGCGGGGTTAGAGAACAAGTGTATGTTTTTACACTCATGAATATGATGAAGATGGACGAGTCATTCATGATCTCTATGAAGCTGCTTTGAAGTAGTGTGGATGCATCCCTCCTAAGATTTGATATGAGTTGGTAGATTTGCAATTCAGTACAGCTCTTTAACTTGAATATTTTTTAAATAGAACACTCACCGATTGGTTTTTTATTATGATTCTCATTGGAGACACGACCCACTGTTGCCATACACTTCTCACTGACGCTGATTTGTTGTTTGGAAGGTAACTGTAGAATCACCTGACCCCCTGTCTTACGAATAAGCTGAGCACTTGTTCCAGCTGCTCGAACAAAGCGTCCACCTTCACCCTCAAAGAGCTCAATGTTGTGGACCAGACAGCCTATGGGAAGAGCCCCTAAGGGGTAGGCGTCTCCTTCGTTTGCAGCAACTAAGAAGATATCAAAGAGGAATTTAAGACACAGCAAGAATTCCAAGGAAACATCTTGAATCTTGGCTTGTTTCTTTCACAATACTAAAGGAATGCAGCTTCTTGCTAATGGATGTCATGTTCTAATTGTTTCAAGCTAGAATAAGTCATTCTGAAAATGGTTATCAGAAGTTCACTGAATCAATTTCAAGTAAGTATGGTCCATAAATATGCATATTTGCCTAACTTGAGTATGAGCAGTTCCAGCAAGTTTGAATTCTGCAAAAAAACTGAAATTATCTATATGACTACAGTCAACACAGCAACAAGTCAATTTCTCCCTTGCTTCAGTCTAACCTGTCATTCTACCAATAGCACCCGAGGTTTTGATGATGTCACCAGCTTCCATGTTGACTGTCGCTAGAATCCAACGTTTACGATTGCCACCAGCTATCAAAGCGATGTTAGCAGTCCGACAAGGATCATAACGAATACCCAACACTTTCTCCACAAGTGGTTCCCCCTTTTCTGGCCCAATACGTTTGAAGTCAATCATGCGATAGCGCCGTTTGTGACCCCCTCCACGTCCAGTTACTGTGATTCTTCCTAAAAAGACAGGCCACAGAAGAAACAGTAAGGGGGGTGTCTTGCTGACTTCATTCATTCATTCACATAAACCTCTTGCAACATCTCTGTGTGACACCTGCCATCAAGGGGCATACAAAAAGTCTGACATTCCGCAACAATAGCATTCAGATAAAGATAATGAAGACATTTCATCGGCACATATTGATCTGGGTTGTTGTCATTATCAAGATGACTACATTAACCTCAAACCATTAAAATCCACCTGACTTTATGATGAGCCAATTAGATTTATAACTGCACGAATTGCCCAAAATAATTTCCCGCCAGTAAGACAGGCTAGTTAATTAGTCATCTGTGTCACACAATTTTTAATGAGTCTCTTTATGAAAAATTACAAGCCTTGTCTGAATCTTTCCCTGCCAACCTGCAGAAACTTCCTGGTTCCTCCTGTGGGTTTGGTCAAACCTCTGTGAAAGCACTAACCCTAACCCTAGAGATTCTTTGGTAGTGGCATTTTCGAATCAGGCAACAGTCAACACTATGCAACAACCATGAACCTTAGTCAATTCTTTGTACTTTGACCAAATGAAGAAATGAAGCCCCATATCATCTATAGGCTGGTGAATGGACTCGGTACTAAATCCATCAAAATTACTGCAAAACCTGTAAGACTGTCTCTTAATACTCAAAGTTATGCAGTTCTTAGATGAAATCATATCTGCAGCCGCCAGAACAATTTTAAAGCCTTTCAACAAGAAATCTGGGTCAAACTTGTATTGGATATGTGCTTAACCACAAATCTAATTAAACTAGAAACATGGATAATAACCTGTTCTGTTACGTCCAGCTGACTTTTTCAGACCCAGAGGCCTGATAGTGTATTTTGGCGTATTCTTCCATGGCACAAACTTTCCAACAACAGCTGATGTGTGAATTTCAGACTTTCTCAAGTTGAGCAATAAGCTTTTTGATTCACTTTGTCCCAGCTGACTGACAGATGCCATTGTTGAATTAACTGGCAATCGTCCTGATAGCAGGTGGTTTGAATATATCTGTGGGCTCAATATGTAATGACGAATAGTCCTGATTATTTGTTGACAGTCATGTTGCCTTCTCAGTGTGAGAGACTGTAAGCTTCGGCATAATACTGCAAGTGCCATTGTGTTTATATATACATCACCAGCAATTCTGTAATAAAAGGAAAAAAATTCATTATTTAACATCAACATTTTGCTGTGGTAGTTGGGAAAAGGTTCTATAAAAGTTAACCAAATATTAATTTGAGGCAACTTGGTCTACACCTATTCAAATGTTATCGATGTGGATACATTCTATGTATCACTGACTTTCTAAAATAAGCATTTTACGTCATTAATTAAGAAATACAAAGCAAAAGTGTCATCCACTTCCTTTTTGAACAAATAGAAGTAAACAGGTCATGGACCAAGCTACAATCTAGCGACGTCCCTACTTTCTGCTTATGTCGCTTTCAAGCGGCAATGACATCATTTTTATCAGGTCACGTGACGATGAAGGAATTTTCCTGTGCGATTTTGGGATAATAGCGAGATTTGAAATGCCAGCAGCCAACTGGGCCACTGTTGCCATAACTTTTCGAGTCTATGGCAAAACTGGTTTGCTATTTTGGAAAAACACCACTGTAAACATGAAATTTGCCACGGTGAATCGATAGAGATTTTTAATGGCAACATTTTCATGCATGAAGTAAACTTAGGCAAAGCTTTTTTTTTTCACATAAACGTTTTCATTGGCAGGATTGGACTCGCCTGCCCACCGAAATTGACACATCCAGTGGAAGATTCGACAGAAAAATCTCCTCAATCCACTTTTATAGCTACTAAATGAAAGGAAGTTTCTTTTAGATCTTGGGTAGCATGTTTCCTGTAAATTTGATCAATAAGAGCAATTGTATTGAAGTTTTTGGCCGATAAAGAGATCGATGTCATCTGCGAACCGTGATCTCGAAATAATTCAAAATTATGTCATTGTTACACAAACGAGCGGCGTATGCATAGTCTGGCGTTGTCGCAAGATTGTGGTTTGGTCCCCGACCTGGTTTAATGGTGAGCAGGTGTCCAACTCTAATTATAATCTCACCTAGAACTAAACACCTTACCGTTCCACCCATCGGAGAGGCATTACAAAAAGCCTCATAGTTCTTGGGATGAATTTACCCTTCTATAGTTCGAAGTTCTAGTTCTACCCCCCCCTTAAAACTTTTCATTCACATTAACAAAACAAACAAGAAACTGACAGTCACAATGACCTTTACATCCAACCTCCCCTCTACATGCTATAAAAATCATCTGTCCCTTGATCTACAAGTGACTTGAAATTTACAAAGGAAAACACAACCGTGACCTGTCCTCCCTCCCCTCGCCATTCCTGGGTCCGACCTTCCCCCCCAGGCCCAGCCTTCCTCGCTCAGTACTGGCCTAGCCTACAACTTAAGTACTGCATGACTGGCCGACAAAAGTACAAACTTCAAGTTCCGACGCCCCCCCCCCGCAGGTATAATAAAGATTGCAAACTTTTATCAAAGTAACGAACAGAACCTAAAAATTGTATCAGAACTAACGACAAAAACAACTGCAGCATGCAAAACTCGGCAATATAACTCACATTTCTGCCACAACATACATACACACCGACAGTGTTGATCATGAAGGGCGCCACCCACCGCGCGCGCGCTTAATTATCGCCGCCGCGCGCCGCGCCCGGGCCAAAGCCAAAAGCAGTTAGATAATTAATAGTGTTTTTCAGGAAAATGTGTTTCCTTTGAAAAATCTGTTTCCCTTGAAACAATTTTTATTTTATATCCAAATAATATAAACTAAAGCTTTTCATAATTTTAATGATTTAGTATTATTGTACTTTTCTATCCCCCACAATATAAAGTTATTTGTGAACGAGACTAACATGGCAGCACCCAGTTGATCGTGAAAGAAACGTTTTTAGCACTGAGTAAAATTTTCATCAAGTGGTGTTATAAGATACATCTTCGTATTTTTCGTCATGGCATCAGGCTTAGAAAGTTACATCAATCGTATCCTTTTCAAAGAAGTCCCGTAAATTTTGCATTTTGCCTACGTAGCCAAGTTCAATTTCCGGACGTAGGCGCTAGGCGCGCCTGCAGGCTTGGCCTAGCATGCCCAGCGCCTGGGCGGCGCGGTGTGAATTTAGGGCGTATCGCGTTTGTTTCACACGGACATGACGGATCTGGATCGCAATAACTGATCACAGTGCAGGTTCGCACTATTATTCATTACAACTGGTTCTGATGTCATTAAACCAATGACAGATCAGTTTGGTTTTTTGTCCCTTTTTCACTCCATCATTTCTAGGGTGTGTACCCTGAATTGTCAACTGGCATGACTGGTTACTTATTCAGCGTTGAAATATCAACATGATCAAATGGTTACTTGTTCAACATTGAATGTCGAACAAGGAACTAACTTCACACTGGTAGCAGCTTTAGATCTGACCAAAAAAGGGAGCTAAGGTTGGCAGGAATGTGATAAAAGTTCAACCAGTGCTGGGCCAGTTGTAGACTAGTTCAAGTAGTTGTTGCTGGTCAAGGGTGGAATTTGCATATATCTATGTACTTAAGTATGACTGGTTCCTGAAGTGATAGGTTGATCCTCAGGATCATCATGATTGATCACTGCACTATTGTTGATCTTAGGGCACAATCTTACATCATGATCTTCAGAAATTCCAAAATAATGGCAGATTGTATATTGGCAGAATATTTGGTGTACCTTGGAAAGAGTTCCATATAAGGACATCACTTGACAGTGACACCCTGTGCACAAACACAAAGAGAAAGGTCTGAGTATTTTCTAAGAAAGTGCTTCAATTTTTCCCTGCTAAATATGAGTTTTTAGGCCGATATGCCACTGCAGGGGAAAGTTAGTAATGTCTGTGTATGGAACACTGTCTGCTGTTTTGTTTCTAGAAGTACATATAATCACAGATTTCTTCCACAAATGCCAGTCTTTATTACTTTGATGTTTTCCTTGGCCAGTTAACATACAGACACAGTATCTGTTATTACAAATGATGGTAGACAAATCGTGGTAAGAATTTTTCTAAGCTGGATTTTATGAAAGAACAGATTCGAATTCTAGTTTTCTGGACTTTCAAATAAAGAGAAATCCGCCTCGGGCGGGCAGCCTCTACATTTGAAGCATTAATGAAATTTGATGTTAGAATTTATGGTGTATTTTATATACACTGTAAACCTAAAATAGTTAAGTGTGCCATTTTTATTTTATATTTTGTTTTTGCATGTAGAGTATGACCTTGAATCTTGAAATGCTTAGCTGATGGGCAAATGGTTGTACTATCATTCAAATACCAACTATAAACAGTTACGCTTTAAACTTAAAAGCAGAATATTGATAATTAGATTCTTTAGATTTAATAAGGTCAAGAAGATCAGCTTCTTCCCCCTCCACTAGACATCTGTTTCTTTTACCATTTAAACTATTTCATCCATAATTTTCAGGGAACTCTAAAGGGTTTTGACCAGACAATCAACCTCATCTTAGATGAGAGTCATGAGCGAGTCTATAATAGCGCCTCAGGAGTGGAGCAAGTGGTGTTGGGACTGTATATCATCAGAGGTGACAACATGTAAGTGTTAGACACTTTAGCTTTTGAGAACATTGCTCTGTAGAAAGGGAACCTGCGTTCCAGTGTGTTGTACGAGCATACAGTGAAGCAGTCCTCATTTTCAAAAATTGGCACTGCTTGTTTCTACTATCATTTTTGTACTTCTAGCCAGAAGCTATTCCTGTGAAGTATGTTCAAGTAATGACTTAATTGGTACAGCTTTTTTTATGTTTTCTTATAATATTGGCATGACTTGACTATCAATGCAGCATGTTTCTAACCAGGATAGACTTATTCCCAAGTACATGTAGTTTCTAACTTGTCAGAAAATAACAGGTAGGCAATACATGTTCTTCTGCCAGACAGGTAACTGATCTGCATAATGTCCACAGTGACCGTTGATACTTGTATTTCTTTCTCATTGGTTAAACATTATTATGAAACTGCAAATTGATCAAAATTGACTTTGTTTTTGTCTCCAGAGCCATCATCGGTGAGATTGATGAGGAGACTGATAGTGCCCTAGACTTATCCAATGTCAAGGCAGAACCTCTTAACCCAGTGGTACATTGACAGTGGTTTATGCCTTCTCATCAGGACTCGTTATCCAACTTCTCAGAACTCCTGCGAGTTGTTTCTAACTTCTGCTGGTACTTTTTTTCATCCCTCCGACCATTGAATAGCTGAGGTGTGTCTATGTGGCCTATTAAACACCTGCACATTTCATAGGATGTAGATGCATTAATGTGCACACGGTAAACTGCTACTGTGAGAACATTATGGAAACCACTACAAATATACACAGCGGTTGCCATACCAGGATTGTTGGGTGTCAAAGGGCGTTCTACTTCAGATTGACTTGTATGGGTTGATGGATTGGCAGAAAGGATCAAAGGGACTCTTGACGAAATGAATGGTCATTTTCCCATGTAGTCAACTTTAGAATTTCAGCTGCTCTGTGTGACACCGTGTATGAGTCATTCGTAACACTCCAAACTACACCAGAAGTTGTGGCTGAAAAACTTTTGCGTCAAGTAGCTCGACTCGGTTTTATGACTATTGGCAACTCCATAACCCTAATTATAAAGACAGTGTTTACTGGAATGGCATGGTAACCCCCCATCCCCTTCTTTCTGCTGTGCCTCCTTTTGCTGCTCTCCCCAACACTGCCTCAGTACCCCTGCCTTTAAAATCTTGGGTTCATCTCTCGAAAATGGAGGACTCTTGGTAATAAACTACATAATATTAAGGTTTCTGTTGAAAACCTTTTTTTATTAAAATGTTTACCCATGTAATTTATTTGTGTTAAGTAAAAGCTTCTGAAGAGGTACATTTGTGATTTTAACCATCTACATTTTAAGTGTTGGTTTTCTCTTTTTTTGTTTCGTGAAGTTCTCTGTGATTGCTGCTTATTATTGTCAAGAGTACTCTGGTTTGAACAATTATCACATTCAGAACCCCACACAAGCCAATCCCTATGTTGACATTCCATTCATTGTACATTTATATTCTAATGTATAAAGTAGCCAGTTTGACTCAGTGTGGATGAAAATGCTAGTTGGAAATTTTAAATTTGGCAACTTGAAAGAGAATTACATGTATGTGGCAACTGAGTACTACAGCCCTACTCAGCCCCAAATAATCTGTGCAAATGTCAATGGACAAAGCTTTCTAACATCTTTTCCACTGTTTTTTATTAACAGAAATCAAGCTATTTCAACATAGTTCAAACTTGACTATCATTCTGTCACATACTTTGTCATGTCTTGAAGATTTTCTCACGTCTCTGCATTTTACATATGTACTTTGCAAGATATTTTTCTCTTTAAGTCACAAAGCACAACCCTAGCAGTTCATAATGGAAATTCCCAAAAACATAGTCCTCATTTTCCTTCAAAATATTTAAAGAGACCCATGAGGATGAAAAAGTAGCTCCTACCAACATAACAAATCTACATAAGCATTTTGCCAGCAGAGATAAAAAAAATCTCTCTAAAAGCTTGTAAGACTGTCCAACTACTGCATTTAAACCAGAGATCAACATCCTCTTTATTATGGTCTTCATGCATGAAAAGAAAACACTTGTTACGCAGTAAGAGTGAAAGCCTCTCCAAAACGGGCTTCCAGAGTGACGGTTGCATCTATTGTCAACATGTCCCTGTGTACTTCATATGGGGAAAAATCTGGATGTAAGCCTTACTCTCTGTACAGAGGCCACAAAGAACACTGGCTGGTATCTCTGCATTGGAATTCAAGTGTTCACTATGTCATGTCAGTAAAAGGCCCATGTACAGTGCACTGATGTAAACGTGCTTCTGAGAAGCAGGAATGGAAAAAGTGATCTTTGGCTATTTTGCCACTTCACTAAAATGATGAAATTTCTAAATTTGCTAGTAGACCCACATACCAAAGAAAAACCAAACATAGACAAATTGAAATCCACTGATTATGCAATAGTACTTGATTTGGGTTGCTATAAAAATGTGCTGCATGAGCTGATTGAATCAAGTAATTACATTAATCAAACTATTCATCTCTTGTGGCCATTTATTGACTTTTAAATGATGCAGTGCCCCCCCCCAAAAAAAACATCCCACATCAAACATGGAACCTTTACAAAATTTCCTAAATTTCATGTGCACTAAAGTGACTTGGCAAAGTAAATATTTAATACTTTGTTTTATAAAAGGGGGGCCCAAGAGAACAAGTCTGAACAAGTTTAATATAGAGTGGCCAAGATGGCATCCATTTTGCTCTTGACATCGTTACGCTTGGCTGTCAAGGCTTTCTCTAGATCCAGGTATTGTTGCTTGGATTGTTTGTTTGCTACCACCTTCTCAGCGTTAGTCACTGCAGTATGAGCAAACTCCTTCAGCAAAGAACCCAGCTTCTGCAGTTCACCAACCTGTAAGCAAGGTCAAAACAAATCTCAAATGCAGCACCAGAGGGATGCACTGATTGACCCCCAAAGTTCAAGGAAATTACAGAAGTATAAAGGCTTTTGAACTATGCTCTCCAAACTTTTTTCACCAAACAATGCTAACAATAAGGTGTTATGTTGACTCCTGTTGACACATTATCAGAAATGGAAACTGACATGCACTCTTGGTGTTCTAAATCCATATATACTGCGTTTGTGCACAAAATGTAACGGATTGACCAAAATGAGTTCTACTTTACAGCAGAACTACTCTGTATTTGATGTTACTGAGTGAACACAATAGAAACACGTGCATTTTGGGTTATACTTGGAATGATAAATAGATCTGCATCCTTTCGTTTGTTCCTTGGCTCAGGGATGCTGTGTTTCCTTCTCTCAAAGCTTTGCTATCTTAGACAAACCTTTTCAGCTATATCTGATCCTTCCTGTTTCAGACTAGCTACAGTAGACTGGATGCTCTTGTCCATGGCACGACCTTCAGCATCCAATTTCTTCAGAGTGGCCTGAAAGCCTGGAGCAATCAGAATGAGGACGTTGCAAGGGGATGTTGAGAAAATTATTAACTCTAACCCCCTAGGCTCCTGCACTAGAAAGCATACTGAACCTCACAAAATCCAACAGGTGCATGTACTTGTCTATGTACTTGTACATGCAGGTTACTGTACCAAACCTGATAAACTCCAACAGAATGAGCCTGTTGGAGTTTGAGTGATATGGTATGGATGGGTCTATGCAGTATAGGATGACTTGCACTGAACAGTACCAAACCTGACAAAATCAAGCATAGTCCAACAATTGGTACAGCAAGCCAGACACTGCACACAATGAACCCTGTGTGTCCCAACTCACACAGGATCCAACACCATCTCCCTGGGCCTTTCATCCCAAATATCACAAAATTCAACAACAAGTTCCTCAGGTACGGTACCAAACCTGCCAAAACCTCAAAAACCTGCTGTTGGAGTATGGCAGGTTTTGGGCAGTTAGGGTTAAAGGTTTTGAAAACTCCACTCAACATGGATTGGCACTTGCATTGCCTAGCTTTAGTTGAAATGGATAGCTGTATCTGAAGAGAGCTCGGCTAAAATCTTTATCTTCAACACTCTTAGTATTTTTGCCAGAGATTTTCCTGAATCCACCAACAATTGATATGATACAGCTTTCATACTTTGAATCACATTAGGACAAAGCGTCCCTGTGCAAATGATGATGGCTTGATTCAACATGATTTGGAAAGATGAAGATTTAATGGACAAGTCTGTGACTGGTCAAATATAAGAACAGAAAAGCTTGGCCCACAACCGTAATCACTGGCTAATTCCCAAACCCAATGGAGCTTAGAGAGGAAAAAATGTTCTCAAGCTCAGTTGTCATTTTTTGCACTGAACATAACCAAACATTTAACAAAATTGAAAATAGCATTCAAAAACTACGAAAGTATTGTTTCCATCCATGCCCTGCAATCACAAGGGACCAGAGATTTTAATACTCTCCTAAAAGTCTGCCTTTATCCATCCGTGGGGAAGAGGCCATTAAAAACGGAGGCTGACAAATCCTCCATTGATTTGTTCCATCAAAACTCGTCCAAACTTTGAACAGTTACCAGAAGTAAAAACGTAATTTATTCACCATCAGTGTAATTGAAGAGTGGAGACTACCCAAACAATTTGTCTTAATCCATCTGGAAAACAACAAGAAGGGGACAGGTTAGTTCTTTTCAGACTTTTTAGCTTGATTGCTCACCAGTAGAATCCTTGGTGGACTTAAACTTGGTGATGGCATCATCATAGCTTCCATACAAGGTTCGTTTCTTTTCAATCACCTCCACCACAGATTCCACCAAGGAAGCAATACGCATGCGTGACTCACTGGCTTCATCCTGAAAAACACAACAGTCAAAGCACTACTTCAAACTGCACACTGCAAATCTGTTAGTTTGAACTGTGTTATGCTGGCTGCCAAACAAACTACGCTTTCAGTGGAAAGTCATCAAAATAACTGAAAAGAACATTCCATCAAAATAAAGATACATTAACCTCATCATTCTCAGTATTTATGGCATGGGAAAACAATCAGAGTTTATACCAAGTCAAATATGTGACCACAGGTATTTGTGTATATTAACCTATTGGGGAGGAAAAATGAAGGATTGGCCATTAGCGTAAATACTACTTCAACTGAAGTCATCACACTAGCACATCACCCATTATTTCATTCAAAATACATCACACTCGTTCTTTGTGGAATTCACAGTGGATAGACCAAACTTTAATTGAAGGACCCAAAAAAACACCACCTGACAACACTAATTCATGCAGGTGTCAGACTTAAGGAAGAACTCGAGGTGGTGTTTGTGAACAAACACAAAGCTATTCCCAAAATGTTTTTTATTGTCTTTTGATGACTGTCAACGAGTATTATAAGTTTGCAATCACTTGGATCACAAATAATTGCAAAAGTTGCTTGTATAACAAAAAACCAAATATCACTGCAATTGAACGTATAGTTCATGAGATATGACGATTTGTGTGTTAAAATACAAGTTCCGATCAAACCGGAAGTAGAGGTCACATGAAGTCAAGATATCAATTTTCATAAAAACACGTCCCTGACTATGTGCATACCAAATTTGAGTTAAATCGGTCAAATAGTTTACCAGTTATTAGATTGTAAAGAATAAAATTTTGAATGGAGGTCACATAATCCTGATGAAGTCACAATTACAAAAAGTTTTGGGGCACATCTTCTGATGATGGTTAATTACTATACTAAGTTTGAAATTGATCAGACTGAAAATAATTGCCAAAGTGCCCCTTAGAAAAAAACAGCAGAAAAAGAAAAAAACAACTTTAACGATTACAAAAGATGTTCCCAAGATTGGGAACAGCTAATTATAGTGCAAAGAGTACAGAAACTTCCAAGTAATTTTGTCCCTCATGGATGAGATCTTTTAGGATTTTAACACGTTACCTTAGCAATGGAGAAATCCAGACGAACCAAAATGATGACAGTAAAGAAGAGGATGAAGAAAGCACCGACAACGAGGAGAGGTTCCTGGAGAAGAAGGATCTTGTTGAAGGAGTAGTGCAGCTGTCGAACAAATTCAATCATATCCAATCAGATTAGATGAAATAACAATGGATCCAACCAAACTACATCTACTAGATCAGTATCAATGAACAGGATAATTCAATCCATTAATTAATGACCAAAAACTGTCTCTTTTAAATCCTGTTATCAAGACTCAAAGACAAAATGGTTGAAGTCAACAATCAAGTCCTGCACAAAGTAATTATCATGTTTATATTTAATTTTGACGACCAAAAAAAAACGCGGAGACATAACAGATATAGAAACACATGTAAACTACTTGCTGCAGGGTGGAATTTGAAGTTGCATGACGTAAAACAAAGAGATTTTCAAGATTTTCCATTTTCAAAATTCTTAAAAAAATCATAGCTTCATTTACTAGACGTTTTACACACATAAATGGCTGTCTGGTTGCTACTCTAATCTGACAGACATCATCTATTGACGCCTGAGTATTTCAGCCAGGCCTTCCACCTTGTAAAAAGAGCCCAGATTGTGCAGTTTTATGTAACTTTCTTTTGTACCCAAAAAATGGCTCAGTGCACTACTGACTTCATTTCAATGGGGGCCAGATTAGCGTGCAGCGGTATGTAATTCTCATAGCAGGAGCATTTTTTTCCCCGGTGGTAATCTGCTCATGCTGAATGCTGCAAACAGTGGTATAATCTCTCAAAATAAGGACGGATTTCCTCCGCTATTGACAACTGAAAAAAATGTTGGCAATTCCCAGAAGCTCGGTCTTTTGTGCCGAGCACAGTCTTCTGTGACAAGGCCCAGCTCTTTTGTCCGGTTTCAGGCTCCCCAGTTTTGTGTATAAAGCCTATGTGCCCGAAACCAGGCTACCCGGCAGCATATGGTTAAACTTTAAAAACAAAAGGAGCAAGAACATCGAATTCCATCATGTGACTTGAGATGTATCCATTCAAATTAAATCTATTCACAATCCTGACCTATGATTGAATACCAACCTCAAAGTCAGCAATGTGTTGTTCGACCAAGTTGGTCTTCCGAGCGACAATGACAGGACGACCAATGGTATCAAGATAGGTAAAATGAAGCTCATCTGACTTACGCTCGATGTCAAAGGACGTCTTTAAATCAATGTCCCTGTCAACAAATTCATCCAAACATTTGGTATGTCAGCAAGCCTGAAAAGTTAAACTAGAAGCTTGGATGACAACCCTGAACACAGCAGCTTTTTTCTAGGAATAATTTTGAATGCAATCCAGCTTTCTAAAACTGTCGTAATCTAATACCATATTTTTAAGTTATGACTGCTGGAACACCATACCGGCACTCTGCCGCCTACAGCTACCAAGTCCTGCATTTTTGGTTCTCCCATTTATCAGTTTCTTTGCCAGGGGGCATGAGCCAGAGGTCATAAACCTATTACACCATATGGCCATGGATCATGCTGTAGGCCGCAATACAAGCACCATAATCAATGTTGAACACCTAGGCAGTGGTAAAAGGGGATCACTCAAAGAGGATGGAGCTTTTTTGGTAACTGAACTCTTAACACCAATGTGTATTGGATGCACAGATTTACTTACTTGCATCCTTCAGGGAGAATCACTTTCACAGTGAGTTCATCCACAACCATGTCATCAAAGACATGGTCAAGAAGACGCATAAGCAAGATGTACTTGTCTCCTACAGAAAAAGGCAAAAGTTTTCAACTTAATGAAACTTAATGAGAGTCATCATAAGACCATGAATGAAGATATGTATCTCGCATGTACTAGAAAGAAATATGAAGTGTTAGTGTTGTATGATAAAATTGTTCTTATTGAAGGTACATTTAAATTTTAACAATCAGGAATTCCCATATTTGCCAAGGTCTGTCACATCACAAACCATCAATACGCACAGTTACAAAGACAGTCACATTAATGGAAACATTAACATAAGCTTTTCATTCCATGAACAGGGAATGCAGTTAATTTTACAGCTGGTTATCAGACATTGGTCATCAGACATTTTCCAACCACTTTGAGTATTCGTCCAACCAAAGCAAGATGCAGCCAGACAAAATGTTGAATGGAAATACCTGAGTAAAAATTCTAAAAAGCTAAATCCTGTTTATGCTGTTACTCTTGTTTTGTGCTAAGGACATTTGACCAGTGACAGCATGTTCTCAGACAAATTGATATGGGTTTGATCAAAAACTGAAAAAAGCAGCACAAAATTGCTTGTACTTGTACGCTTTGTCTTACCATTTTATTTGCCTAATTTACGGTCCAGAATGCACTCATAAGTCTGAAAGTCATTCAACTTACCAGCATTATAGAGATTCTCATAGCTAGGCAGGTTATACCCAATGACATAGTGGGTCTTCCAACCACCAAACAGTGGGAATCGAGGTCGTAGCTCCAACTCCACGTGATCCTCATGTTCAAGCAGGTTGCTGGTGGAAATGTTACCAATCTCATCGCGGTAGTACACATCTTTTGCTGAGGCAGGCAAAATGGTCTATACAAGATTTGAAAACAAACAGGTGGAAGCCAGCTACTGAGACATTTTTGTTTAGCTTCTCAATACAGATCTCTGTATTTTATACATTAAAACATGTAAAAAAAAAAAGCTATCGCCTGTTAAGTATTAGGAGTGTGGGGACACTAGGGGGCTCTCTTCAGCAGGTCTGAACATGATTAATAGAATACACTCCTATTTATCACAGGCTTTCATTACACCTGATCAAAGGAATGTAAGAGCTTGAGACAATATCACTGGTTGACATTACTTAAGATTCCATCTCAACCAAGGTGAACCAATAATAGAGATTCAATCACTGGCATGCTTCATCCTAGAAGCTTGTCCACACTAGGTTCCTTGGAGTAGGTTAAATATGCCACAGAAAGAGAGGCCCCAAAACAACCCAGATCCTTAACCCTTACCTTGAAGGACTTGATGGATGAGTACCCATCCTGCATCCGCTGATAATCATAGCGAGAGAATGACCCCTTCAACTTGGCTCCTGAATGGTAGATGTCATAGGTCTCTTCCACTGCTATGTTACCCCAGTGGGATACCTCAATGACACGGGTCATGCTGGTAACAACAAGGAAAGGATTGTTGTTCTCATAGTGGATCCTGATCTTCTCCTAAAAAGGAAAGATGACAGTCCGAGATGATCATCAGGACTTACAATGATAGTAATTTTTATTGATGTTATACTTTAATGAAGTTATATTGTTACAGGAACATTGCATGGGTTTGGATGTAGTTTGTTTCAACTGCTGAGACAAGTCCAAGTTGTAAACTATCAGCAACTTCAGAATTGATAGACAGTAAACTCTGACTAAGTCGGCATCACGTGACCTGTCATATCGTCTAAGTCGGCCGTTTGACAAAAGTCCTGATCGTCTGTAATGCATTTCCATTGAAAATTTCATTTCTAACTCGGCATTTATAAGTCGTCATTTCATATAAGTCGGCATGTTTTTCTCAGTCCCTTTTCCACAAAACCACAAAAATTCCTTTGTGTAAGTCGTCATTAAAAAAAAAATCGTGCTTCGGTATCAGTTTCCTTTGCTTGCGGTTGCCAAGAAGTGTCAAGTGCAGCCAGCATGAGTACATCAATACCAGTAACCTCTCTAGTGCTACACGCATGTGCTCTGTCCATTTTGGAGGTCACCTTATTGAACGTAGTCTGGTTCCCTGCCCAAAGACTCCCTGACGACCCTTGATGATGATCCTTCGGGTAGTCAGAATTATCGGGTCTGGTATCCAGACTATATTGAACGAACTTAACCAATGCGCGTGCGTGGATGAGTACATATTTTCTGTACCGTAACTATACCATGTACATGAATGTACTGCACTGTCGAGTCGTGATGTGATATGTAAGTGGCTCGCTGTCCCTGCTTCGTCCTTAGGGGCACATGATCAATTATCGAACTTGCAGCCCGTGAGGATAATAATCGAGAACGAATTTGCTGGGATCGACCACGGAGGAAGAAATAAACCAGGGTAAATCAAAGCCATTGAAATATTGCGAGGAATCCTAATGTACATAGAAAATACATGTGTACGTGTAAGTCAGCAAAATGATGACTTACAGCAAAAGTCGGCATTCGCGTAAATCATCATAATTTCTTGAGTCCCAAGAGTGCCGACTTAGCTGGAGTTTACTGTACTTCAGAAAAATGCTCAGAATACCAACTTCCAGTTTCAAGAACAACTTTAGGAATTTATGTCAGTTAAAGAGAGAGCCCATTTACTGACCATGTACGAGGATGCAGCTAGCGGCAGCAGTAATCATTCCCAAGTACATGCAATGGTCACATAGCAAGAACCGACTCACTGCATACAGCAAGTGTACCAATATAATCCTGATAGCTGTTACAAGATGTTTGGGTGACACCCAAACAAGTATACCCTCCAAAAGCTAAATCTAGTTCAGAAGCCCAGGGCATTCTTGTCCAAGACGGCATGTTGAAATTAATATTCTAAAATCCTATTAGATTAGTGAGTAGGTGAAATTCACCGTGGTATTAAACTAAATGCAACTTCTGACAGTAGATTTCTAGGATTCATGCAGATTCAGTTTGTATTACTCTCTGCTACAAATGGTCAACTTTAACTTGGTCAATATCATGAAAAAGGTGTCCAAAATGCTTACTGCATTGAATGGGTTTTACTGAATCACATAATAAGGTTTTACCTCAGAAAATGGCCCGACATTGTCATAAGGCCCATAGGAGATGGTAGAATCACTCTGTGTGACTGGGTTAATCTTGCTATAGAACTCAATCGTTGATGATGCTAGCTTGACTTCTGTTGTCTGGGACTCTGTCTTGTAAGGAGAGTAGAAATACACGTTGCCCTTGAACTCCATGTACTGCTTCTCACTCTGAGGTATCTCAGCTGGATAGGGACGCAAATCTTTGGTGAAGATGGTGTCCACGGTGACATCGACAGTGTCTCCTGCACCAAGGCTCTTGCTCAGCTCAACCTTGTAAAATGTACCATCGCTATAAGGAAAGATAAGCATTCAACTGATGCATGAAATTTACCTCATTTATACTACAGCCTTTTTAGTAATGAAATGCCATCAAATTTGTGACTGAACTTTACAATTGAGGGCTGATCATTTACAAAGGTGATGTAAATGGAGATCAAGCTACACTTGAATTTAAAGATGCAATATCATATTTTGATCCATTCTCAGTATCATTAGCAATGATAAAAGGTCACATGATCCTTTTCTTAGTCAACAGAGATCACTACGGACTATTTAAATTGCCAGAACACTTTACATAATACTAATGACTCAGTTTAAGGGATTGATGCTAGGGTAAAAATACTCACATATACATGTATCTCCCCCCCCCCCAAATTTTGTTCTCACAAGTTGTATCCATCTTTGTGACAAAATAAGACAGCTACAATTTGAGGAAGGGTTTGTCATTCTTATTTTTCACTTACCTGTTACCAGGGACTTCTGTTCTGGTCACTTTTAGGTCCTTTTTATCATCGTCTGATTTTAACTGCAAGGGAAATAATGTAATGTTTTAATTGATCTTTTTGACTTTACTCTGAAACAAAATAACACCTTCTTCTATACAACCATCTCTATTGAACAATATCCAAAATATACAATAGAGCAGGCTGCTGCCGATGTTTACAGGTTCCTAACCCCAGGTTTATTGTTTATTGTCAAATATAACATATCAATATTACCGGTTATGACATGAAATTTTCAAATTAGGAAATTTTTTACAAAAAAGTGCCTTCTGACATCTCTTTTCTTCATTACAGTGTATCTCAAAAAACCTGAAAAGGTCTGTTATTGCCAGAATGTAGAAAAATTGAATAGGAGACTGAGAAACATGTTAGGGCTGAGTCAATTTTAATAACTCACTATTCCAATATTCGACCTTCAATTCCATCGAATATCTGAATATTTGGTTGTACAGCCTGGCAGATTGTTGATGATTAAACCATACACAAAATCAGTTGAAATAACGCACACAACTGTACATTATAATCATAGCTGCTCACGTCTAGGATCTCCAGCCACCTTTTAGCAAGTTTTAAGAGATGAGCACTACTTCTTGCCCTGTTGAAAATTCATATCCCTTTTAAATTGTTTGATGAATAAGGCCAAATAAATGTTTTTGCTTCCAATTACATTTCTCTCAAAAATAGGGTTGGTAGGTTGTAAATTTTTTTTTTGGATCAATTTTTTCGTTGCCGATTGAATGGCATGAATGGGAACAAAACTACCAAAAACTGCTTCAAAAGGGATAACTTAACTTGCCTCAATCTATGTCAAAATTTCTACAGTCAACAATTCTTAAGAATTATGAACAATTTACACCACTATGCAAAACGCCAGTCAGGTAATCACGGCGGCAACAAACTGACCAATGATGTCTGTGTATCAAGAGGCAAGTGTCTATGATGCATCTAGACAGGTGGGAAATAAACCTTGCGCTACGGCAAGAAATTTTGCAGAAGCAGGCTCGCTTCAAGTTAAGAACGAGCATAACAACCTGAAATTTAACTCATGAACATATAAAAAACACACAGACAACAAAGTTCTATGAATTAACTTGCAGAAATCATCTTGCAACATCAATGTTTTTAGAACCTACACCTGTAAGCTTGCATGCTATAGGGCTGGAGTGTAGTATAACCACACCATTAGTAAACACTGGTTGCCACATTTCCATCCCGCGTTCTTTGAATATTCAATAATAGACCACATATTCAAATATTCAGCACAGCCCTAGAATGTGTCACCTCCAATAAGCAATGCCAATCTGTTGCATGTAGAAAACGCGTCAACTTTGTACAGCGTACTTGTGAACAATCGAGAAAATGGCATCAGGTTAAAACACTGTTCCCCCAACAAAACATTTGTTTTTCAATCTTAAGTTAAAAGCTTTAACAGTGCCAAGAGCAATCCTGATTCTTGGGTAAATCTATTGTACTCCTTCCCCAGTTGAGGAATGAATTTCAAATAAATTTCATTCACAGGTAAATCAACTCCAGATGGAGAATAAAATGGAGAATACATGTACAAGATTGTGCTGAACAGCATTTAAAAAAAGGAGAGAGTTCCATATACGGACAACACTTGCTTGACACCCCTGTACACAAACAGTGTGAGACTTGTCTGAAATGCTTAAGACTTTTCTCAGCTATCACTTTCTCACGGCTGTCACGACATTTTATGGAAAAATAAGTGTTGTCTGTATGTAAAACTCTTTCCAAAAATAATAATAATGGGACTGGCAAAAACTGGAAACAAATGAATAAATAAACGAAAAACAGCACCCCAGCCCCTCCTCCCAATAACTGCCAGACCAACCATGACCATCATGACGATCAATTAAACCTTGTAGACATTTGTGCAGGTGCACATGGAGATAACACATAAAAAAACCCACCCCGGCACCAAGATATGAAAGATGCTGAGCCCTTTTTGCGTCCACAGCTAGCAAGAAACTTTTCACTGCCGACGAACCGTCATTCCTGAGGGAAATGATGGAACTGATCTTAACAAGTTGCGAGACGAGATCAATCGTCCTTTCCACGTTAGAATTCACCAAATCGGTGTTGATTTTCTCCTGTTTTCCTGCTAAAACAGAGGCAGATAACCCCACCAATAACAGTGGGAGAATCAGGATGGATTTCATCGTCAGTTAATCTTAAGATGCAGCAGGATTTACAAGATAGAAAATCACCAAGTTTCACNGCCGTGTGTCGCATGCATTGAAGTGGAGGTGACGAAATTGAGTTTTTGACAGTGGTGCTGACTTCCACTTCAAAATCTTGAGGAAACGGTAAATCTTAGTAATACGTCGGTCCATATTCCATACAGGAAAGAGCTCTATACACGGAATTAACTTGACACCTTGTTCGCAATGAGAATGGGCTGAAAAATACTCGGCATGCTAAACCTGGGGCCCAGAAGGACTTTTTCAAAGTAGGCCCATGCTTCGATATTTTCCATGTTTTCCCGGCTAAATTTGGCTTTGGGGGAAATGTTATCGGTTTCTGATGGATAATGTATCACTTTAGGGAAAAATAAGTGGTGTCTATTCATGGAACTCTTTCCGAATTTGATCAGATAAAAATAATTTTATTAAAATTATTTTTATCTGATTTGGAATAATAATATTTCATAATAATAATAAAATAATAGAGATGGGCCGTAGACCTAATTTCACAACCTGGCTGTATGTGAAAAATAGGCCCAGGCCTACCTGTACATTTTATGTATGGCATGAAATAATGATAAAAAATCATGTAAATCTCATTCATGTCATTTCAGCATCATGCTGACTCCATGTTGTTGGTTGTGTACAAAATCTATGGAGAGTATATAGGCTTAGTTCATTTTTAAGGTATTTCTTTAAAAAATTTGAAATACTTTCCAGATAAAGATTTTAGCAACTAGGCAGTATGCAACTGTCTGACCCCTTCACTCAGACATACTAGCGCTGTACTAGCGGGCAAATTTTAAAAATTCAATTATACTTGAACTGATAGGCCTTGTTCCCGGTCCCTTGTGTGACAACCAGCTCAAGGCTTTTTCCACTGTAAATTATGCATTGAATAGTCATTTGTGAAGCAGCTAAGTGCAGTTCCTACCTCAGAAGCTTCCGTCGCCAGGAGAATTGCACCCTCTCTTGGTCCAGCTGGGGTAGATAGTCTTCTTATTATGATCTGTGGCTTTGGAAATAAATTCCGAATTGCACTATTTCTGAAATTCATCTGGTAAATATGAAATTTGCAGTGACTGTGTAGGCATAGAGCCAGATGAAGAGTTGTGGTAACAGGTCTAAGTCTCCCAATTCACTCACTGTGCTTGTTTAGTTGCCATGTAAAAAAAGGTAAACCAAATTAGCATGGGTTTAAGGTAAAATATTTACTACCTTTAAAAAAAACTCATGTTGCTTTGGATATCCATCACATTTTCAGGTTTTCAAGATCTCGTACTCAGTGTCAAGATGGCAGGATTTGATGGAGGTGATGTGAGCCGTTCATTGCGAGATGCAATATGTGATAGCCTGACAGCAATTCTTTCCCCGCAGCAAGATGTAAGGAACATGGGCGAGGAACAACTCAAAGTTCTGGAGGTCACAGAGGGTATGAATTTTCTATGAGCAATTTTTCTCAAGAATTTGTTGTACAGTTAAACCATAGTTGAAGTAGTTTTGTAACTATGTTTGGACTAGTGTTGTCAACTGTTTGGTACTCCCTACCTGCATTTACAGTGTATGTGCAGATTTGTTCATCCCAAGTATAATAGACACAATCCCAACCGTAGTGATGCAGTTGGGCTAGCTTTAAATGGGAAAGTGGCTTATTATTGGACTTCTTAATTCCTTGTTTAGAGTTTGGAGTTCACCTTGCTCAGCTGACCCTTGACCCAAATGGAGCCTTAGCTATCAGACAGGTACACCATCATTGTTTTTAAAATCGGACATATTATAGGTGTAAATACCAACTTCTGTTGTCACAGATTACTTTTGTTTTATAACTTTGTTGTGTTAAAAATATCAGGTATGTCTGTTTTGTTTTTTGGTTACTTTGTAGCTTGCTTCTCTGATCTTGAAGCAGTATGTAGAAGCTCATTGGAGTACACTCTCCGAGAAGTTTCGCCCACCTGTTACAACAGATGAGGTAAGATACATTGTCAGGGGGATTTCTTTGTTCTAGTGCATGGTTAAAGGAAAATGAAATGGACTCAAACACACTACTTTTAAGTTTCAGAGTCACACTTGTTTCTCCTTGTCTGGTTTCACTCCAAGGACTGTTATATATTGCAAAGAAAATTTGAATTTTTTTGCATTCCACTCAGCTTCGCCTTGTGGAATGGAACATTTCACTCAGCTTCGCCTTGTGGAATGGAACATTTCACTCAGCTTCGCCTTGTGGAATGGAACATTTTATCGATCAGCTCGGAAATTATTCTTACCATTCCACTCGTAAATATTCATTATTTCAGGCCAAGGCCGAAATCCGCAAAATGCTCCCCATGGGACTGCGAGAGTCCATCAGCAAAGTGCGTTCTAGTATAGCTTACGCTATCTCAGCCATCGCTTCGTCTGATTGGCCAGAGGCTTGGCCTGAGCTGCTTCCAGAACTAATGCACTTGATAACAAGTGGTAACAATGATGCTGTGCATGGAGCTATGAGAGTGCTTACAGGTAAATATCAGTGTCAATTGGATAGAACTGCTTAGCAGAAAATGTGCTTACAGGTAAATATCAGAGTCAATTGGATAGAACTGCTTAGCAGAAAATGTGCTTACAGGTAAATATCAGAGTCAATTGGATAGAACTGCTTAGCAGAAAATGGGCTTACAGG